TTTTTTTTTTTTTTTTTTTCCCATTTCTAGAAGAATTAGGAATACACTGTCCCAAAGCCCTTTTCACAGGAAATCTGAAGAGGTAAAGAGGCATTTGTTTTCCACTTCTAGAAGAATTAGCAATACACTGTCCCAAAGCCCTTCCGTCAACAATATCTAAAAGATTAATCTCTATGATAACATTGTCTCTAAAATTTTATATTTTTAAATAACTTTTAGGTAAATTTTTTTACTTATAAGATATTTTTTCATATTTTATAAGCGAATTTTTGTCATATTAGTAGTATTTTTATTTTATAACAATTTTTTTACATAAAAGTTATTTTTTTACTTATAAGTAATTTTTAATTATAATGTAATTTTTCTTATCTTACAAGTAATATTTTACTTATAAGTATTTTTTAATTATAACATAATTTTTTAAATGATAAATAACTTTTTAGTTAATATATTTTTATTTACAATATAATTTTGAACAAAATAGATTGATTGGAAATAATTATTTATAAAGGGTAAAATTAGAAAAGAACATGAGAAACTGCCAAAACTTGTCGATTTGATGGGTCGAGAGAACCGCTCAAAATTTCACCACCCAAAATCAGTGTCCTGAAAATCTAGCAAGCACAAATTTTTCCAAAATAAAACTCCCGAGCGGAGCGGGCATTTAAAAAAACAATCTGTTTTTTCAAACTTTAATTTAATTGTATTGTTTACTCAACAACCTAACCTAAGACAATAGGCGTATCAAAAGAAGAAACATTCCCGAAATTTTCGATAATAGAATTGAAAGGAAACCAAAGACTGTACATTTGAAAAATATAAAAATCCACATTCAAGAATTACTCCAAGAACAAGATTAAAAAGAAATTCACGGTTTTAAACCCAAGATTTTACCTTATTCTAAGGTTAAAAAAACCCTCGACAATTAATAAAGATTTTTGTTGTTTTTCAATTGAACCTAAAAATATAAGAATCTAATGGCTTTGTAGAATTCTCCTTTCATCTCGAAGAAAATTAATACCCACAAAGTTCAAAATCATTGCCATTGAATAAAAGCACATATATGCACTTTTAAATCTATATATGCGAAATACCTGTGTTCTTCCTCTGTCCAAGGTGTTCCTTTCTTCCTTTCTACTTCGTTCTTCGTTTTGTGCCCACTCGACCCAAAGGAGATCTGACCCGGCCTTCTCGATTCAACCTGGTTCCACTCAAACGTGTCTGACTCGTCATCATAATAACTCGGCAGGTCGACCCGACCGGAATCAATCTCGTACACATCGTGCAAAAGTGCCTCGTAATGTGCCCTGACATCATTCGGAGTCTTTCCAGGCAGCCGATCCGCGATTTTATGCCATCGGTTCTCCTCCAGCTCCTCAGAAAAATCCACCAAAGCCTTCTCGAAAATCTTGTCATCTTGCCGACTCCACCCCACCGGCATCGCCGCCTCAGAATTCCCCATCATCATCCATTCATTACCACTACTATTATACATCATTTAATAACTTAGCTTTATCTAATTCAACAAGTTCCTCTTTTCTTAAAGAGTTTTTTAGAAAGGGTTTTGAAGAAATTTGAGGTGGAGGTATACATACAAATAGAGAGAGATTTTGGAGAGAAATGTGAATGTACACGTTTTTGCTTAAATTGGTGGAACTGGATCCATTGGAACTGTATAGAAACCAATTCCATTTTGACTTCTTTTTTATTTATTTATTTATCACCCATTATTTTGTTTTCTTTTATTTTATGCCTCGTGATAATTATATTATGTTAAATAATCAGATCATGGCCAATTTGTCATGGGACTTTTGACTAGAACTAGAAGTTGGACTTGACTAATTTTGTGTTTATGGATTAGCTTATACATTTTCAATGCCCATTGCCTCTTTTAATATATTTTATTGGGTAAGTAAAAAGAAATTAAAAATTCTTGTTGAGAAATTAGCTCTAACTCTAAATCCCAAAATTTAATATTTGAAAATTTCAAGAAGAATAGAGAAAATAAAAACAATTGAGTTTATTTCAACGAGGAAATTGAGTTGACATACACTTGCATCAAAATTGACGTTATTCAATAATATAACTATAAGGAACATGAGTTAATATTGACTTGTAACGTAACACTAATTACACACTAGAGCACTCGTGAAGTAAAAACTCTACTATGTCAACGTTTATTACCTCTAAACTCAACTTTGAGATCCTCGTGCAGGGGCTTTCGTACCACCTCCTACAAAAAATGGCTTGTGTCCATCTCAATGAAATCGACTCACGCATTAGGTGAGTAGGTGACCAACTAAGGCCACGAGTTATCAGATGGCCCAAGTTTTAAAAAATTAATTATTGTCTTTTTTTCTTATAAAAAATCATATTTGTAATTAATAACATTATATGGATCTAATCTCGTGTCCAAGATAGGCAGGATAAAAAAAAATTCACCACTGAAGTCTCTTCAACAATTATACATTAAAAGAAGCTTACTTAATATTATCTTCTTCACATTAGTAATGAGATGTTTTTATTCTACCCACTAGAAGCAGGAGGTCAATTATATAACATTATAATATCAACGATCTTGAAACATTTTTAGGCGGTTTGATTCCTCATAAGAAAAAAATAGTTTCTTCTTTAGTGCTTGTTTGGTAGGGATTTTTGGGGGAAGAATTGATTTTTGAATAGTGATATGATGGAAAATGTGTGGTTGACAAAGAAGAAAAAATTATTGATGTGATGAAAAATATTATTTTATTGAA